AATAATAATAATAATAATGATAATAATAATAATAATAATTAACAAAAGTTAATAATAATTAACAATCAACAATAATAATTAGTATTAATAATTAACAATAATAACAATAACAGCAATAATAACAACGATAATAATAATAACAATAACAGCAATAATAACAACGATGACAATAACAATAATAATAATGTAAAGCATAAGTCTTTTTTTTGCTTGCTCATTTAATCTTTTTTCCCCATTTTCGCATGTGTAAAACCATAACTATTATTATATCACTTTAGTTATAACTATGAAACTGGATCGCGCACCTGATAATGAGGTTCCAGTGATTATCGAACGAGACAATTTGCGCCGAAATGTGACAATTTACGGTGTTCAATCCACGTAGCACAATGGTGACACAACGCTTTTGCTCCACGCATTCACTTAGCTTCTTCAAGGGTCCAGCGTCGGACTTTTGCACTGTCTAAACTGAATATGCAATGCAAATGAAACAAAAGAAATATTTTTTAATTTTAAAGAAATATTTTTTAAAAAAACAGTTGGAAAAAAAAAATTAAAAACACGTCGTCTAGATTATCCGTGCAATTTTAACAAAAAGCGCCTGCTATCAAATTTTATCGCAAAAATTTGTAAATGGGACAAAACATTCCAAAAATAGAACCTTTTTCGATGGAAGCGTTTCCAGCACGGTTCGTCCAACTGCCGCACATACATTTGATAGCCGTTCTTTCCTGAAATAACCAAAAGTGCAATAGTAGTAGCGCAGCAATGTTGTATGAATATTAGGGATCGGAGAAAATGCACCAGCCGAAATATCATTTATAACAAAGGCTTATTAGGAAGCAGTTTGTGTTTCATCCCTTAGTTGTAAACAGAAATAGAGCACAGCATTTGGCTACAGGCGTACTGAATTTTGTCCTATCTCCCTCGCTACTTGAGTTCCGCGTTCTTCAACCAAACCAGGACGAATTAGATGAAATTAATACCAAAAAAATCTATTTTAAACTCTTCTGCTGATTTGTTGCTGATAAAGTAAGTGAAACGAGGTGACGAACAACACCATTTGGATTCGTCTTTTCAGTGCCAAGAGTTGAAATCGTCATAATTTTGTTTTTAAACAATCCTTGAAAGACGGAGCTGCTGCCAGCCTAGCCACTCGGATTACTTTTAAGAGTCTCACAGTTAATGAATACAAAGCCAATTTTAACTTCAAAGTTTAACTTGCCGCAAAAGAAATGAGAAAAAAATTACCGTTTTTTCTTTGTGCATCGCTTATCAGCTTCAATTTTTTGTAATT